TGGAGTAAGACCCTGGGGACGAGCCCACGTCATCCTTATATGTTTATATGTATGGCTTATGTAGCTTTTATAGCTAATATGGATTATGTGGTTATGTGGATTGTGTGGGGTATGCTCTGGGGAACTCATTAAGCTTCGTGCTTACAGTTTTGTTTATTGTTTCAGGTATCATCGATTTGGAAAAGAAGGGCTCGGATTGATCGTAGTGGACACACCTATGATTTCCGCAACAAATGATTTTGGGACGAACTCTGATAAATGTTTTAATTAACGATGTTTTGGAATGTTTGAAATAAATGGTATTAATGTTTTGGCTATAATAAAAATGAAATTTTTACCCTTGATTTTTGGGTCGTTACACATGGTCTTACACCCGTGGGCCATGGGCTCCCCATGGTCTTAACCATTTGCCATGGGCTCCCCTCATGGTCTTTACATAAACACGTAACACATAAAATAACACATTCACTACACATGCAACTATTAAGATTTCATAACAAGTAATGGGTCGGCCTTGGTGCCTTTGACCCATTGGTATGGTGAGGAGACTCACCACAGTCTGCTGAACACAAAAGCTGCTCGCCTAACAGTCCGATACCTCATGCTGAACAACGGAACAAATAACCCTAAATTAGGATTATAACCCATCATAGACAAAGAGACAAAAGACCTAAACCTAAGTCCTTTCATGGTGACCCAAAGGTCTCATCCTTACTAATGGGTCTAGGACCAAGATAAAAATATTAATGGGCTACATGGCCCAATAAACCAATACAACTATGGCCCAACTCGGAATAACAAACTACTATCACTAATGGGACCAGGCCCAATGCTAAATAAGGCCCAAAAAGTTGACAAGTCCACACGAAGCCCAATCCCCTCTGGGGTGCGTACGCCCAACGTACCACTCCAGTACGCTTAACGTACTGAGCCTCTTGCCTGTACGCGCATTGTACACTAAGTTACGTCCTTCGTACAGACATAAGATGCACCATCGATCATTAAGATCTTAAAACTTGGGATTTCAACGTCCAATATCAAATCGTCCTAAGGCATAAAGTTGGCAACTTTATGCCCTTCCATGCCATAAGGGACTCCAAAACTTCATTCTTCTCATTAAGACTTCATGTGAGACCTCAAACTCATGCATGGCTTCAATACAACTTTCAAGATGGCACCTCTATGCATTAAGCATGGTCAAAGAGCTTAGATCTAACAATCCTAGCCTCTGGAGTTACTCAACTCACAAAAGAGGGTACAACTAACCAAAAAGGGACTTCTTTGAAAAACCCTAACTCAAACTAACACAAGGAATGACAAGGATATGACTTTATACCTCCAGAAGTTCCTCAAGATGAACTTGATGCATGATCTAGAAGCTCAATGCCACCCAAGACTTGATTACCACCTTCTCCCTCTTGAATGCTCTCTAAAATGGCCACCAAAACACTCTTTAAGCTTAATAATCACTCTTACAACAAAATATGGGGTTAAGGGACGAAATGAGGTTATGGAGGCTGATTAGGGTTTGGTCCAAATGGTGAAAGGTTGCTTAAATAGGTCATAAGTCCGAAAATTAGGGTTTTTGGCCATCTGCCACGTACGCCCCGCGTACCAACTCGTACGCCCCACGCACGTGGTTCACCTCCGCGATCATTCCTCCTTAGTACACTAAGCGTACTCATAAGTACGCCCAACGTACGAAAGGGACCAATTTTGTAATGAAATTTCATTTAAAGGGAAAGGAGGTAAATACATGGATTGGAGTGTTACACTGAGCATAGCTCTAAGCTGAGCGTAGCTCTACGTTGGGCGTAGATTAGTGTGCTACGCTCAGCGTAAGTCAACTAAGGGTTGGCCGTTGACTTTTTGACTGATTTGACTTTTGGTCAACCATGTTGGGACTTAGTATTTGACTTTTAAATGCGAGCCTAGACCTTTTGAGAGTTAGTTATTACCTTGATTGTTAATTAGAGTTTTTGCTATGTGTATGTTTAGCAAGAGGAGACTTGATATCGTCGGCTCGAGTGTGTGGTTTGTCTTGTCTTCAAGATTGAGGCGGGTCTTATCACTATACTATAGGACACTGGGTGTCGTTTTGTGCATGTTGTCTTCGTGATATGCTTGTATGCTATATGCATGTGGGTTGATACGGACTCGATGGAGTCGATCTGGACTCGGAGTCAATACAGACTAGGGGTTGTTACGGACCCGGGGTTGATACAGACCCGACGGAGTCGATCTGGACTCGGAGTCAATATATAATCGGGTTTGTTACAGACCCGAGGTTGATACAGACCCGATGGAGTCGATCTGGACTCGGAGTCAATACAAACTCGGGGTTGTTACGAACCCAGGGTTGATACGGACCCGATGGAGTCGATTTAGACTCAGAGTCAATACGGACTCGGGGTTGTTATGGACCCGTTACAACTACGTGCTGTTATATATGATGTATGTGATATTTTGGGGAACTGACTAAGCTTTGTGCTTACAGTTGTGGATTAAATATTTTGCAGGTACTTATCGGGTTGTGAAGGCGGGACTGTACACACATCAACAATTTTATGATTCGAGATTCCACATTGTCTTCTTTATAACTATGATTTCTGAATAATGGTTTATGAACAAATGGTTTGACCTGAATGTAACTTTATTAGAAATGGGTGTTTATTCTATTTTAAAATGAAGAATTTACTGAAATTGGGACGTTAGATAAATGCAATGGAATAATGCCAACTAGATCAACGGGGTCACATGGGAACCAATTGCGAGGCTTTGTCTGATGATTTGTTCTCCTGTAAAGGTCACGCAAGTGTTATCACTTTATGTCACGATCTGAAATTGGATTGTTCAAGAAAACAGAGAATTGTTAATCAATAACTGTTAAAGAAATCAATTATTTATAACTCACATTGTTGTCTGATAAACATTGTTTTGCCATGTATTTCAGGTTCAGGTAGCAAACCTTAGTAGGAGTAGCGATAGCAACAACAAGACATGGACTGGATTTAGATTTTTGTACCGTATAATCTTGTTGTTTTAAGTATGGTTGTGATATGGTTTGTACACCTGCTAATAGTATGCTAATAGTCTGATAAATTCCTAGAAAATAATATTAAAAATGTACGTAAAAAGTTTTGGGTGTTACATGATATTTTAAAGATCTAACAATGAAAATCAGTCAAAAGCGCATCTTACTTTGAAAACTATTTTAGGAAACATGGTTTGGCAATTTTGCCAAAGTAGGATGCTATTTTATAGATTAAACAATCAGCCAAAATAGCACAGGGGTAATTTCTATGGGCAAAATTGACAATATATATAAATTTAAGTGGACAAAAAGCAAAAGATGCGTGGAAAAATCAACCCCTTTAATTCCATCAAATTCAAACTTGATATTGTTTATGACTGCAATAATTTGTGGGTCTACTAAAAAAACAAAAAGGAAAGCACATATGGGGTAGGCTGGCTATCAATATCAACATTTCCATTAATAACAAACTCAACACAAAAAAATGAAAAATAATGGCCAACTATTTGGTCTTTTTTCTTTGGTAGATAAGATTGTTTGCTGGATGTTGTGTAAATATCAAGATAGTAAAGGGGGCAAAGTGTGCAAAGTAGAAACTTGGAGCTTAACGCGCGACAGTGGACGCGTATGCACTAAAAAAACCAAAACCCTGAGACTTTTGGCCCGACGGTATTCGAGGTTGTGGATTCAAGTATTATTTGAATATATTTGCGGTTTAAAAAAAATCTCTTCTCTATTCTAATAAATGAATAGTTTTAATCTCCATTTGACATGTGGCACTCTAATACAACTCTTGATTAATATTATGCCACATGTCAAAAAGATATATTAGACAACACTTCAAAATTCAAATTTACTTTTTATAATTATATGTTAAATTTAAAGTTATAATAACTTTAAAATTTTGGTATATCTCATAATTAGTGATTTATTTAAAGTAATTGATAAATAATTTATGAATTTTACTATAAAAATTTAATTTATTTTGTTACAGTGGTTCCATTAGTAAATAAATAAATAAAAACTTTTCTCATTTTTCGTCTCTTCGTTGACTGTGTATCAGATAAGATAAGATCTCTGAGTTGTTCCTTAAATCGTTTATAGTTGTTTTCCGTTCGTCTTATTGTCTGCTGATTTGTTTTCACTCACAGTTTGGTTCAAGTTCTTTCTTCAAAATTGTTTGGTTCATATCCCCAAATATATACATACGCACGCATCACTGCTTTTATATTTCTGTTCCCCTCAATTAAATTTTTGGTACTCGATAGACATCATGTCTTCCCACAAACATTTTGATCACTTACGAATCCCGCTTGAAGAGATAGTATCTGCCACCGACAATTTTTCTGATGCAAATTTCATCAGATATGATGGATTTGGAAAGGAGTACAAAGGACAACTCTTGCAGTCCGGTCGATTGGTCGATATCGTTGCACGGAGGTTAGATGATAAGAATGGAATAGGAATCAAAGAGTTTTGGATGGAGGTTTCGATGCTTTGTACACTTGAGCATCAAAATATCGTCTCTATCGTTGGGTTTTGTGACGATGGTGATGATGGTGAGAAGATCGTCATAAACAAGCTTGAGACCCGTGGAAGTCTTTGTAACTATCTAAGAGACCCGAGCCTCACATGGATGCGAAGGTTGCAGATATGTGTTGGTGTTGCGCGGGCATTAAATTACATTCATTATGATGAGGGACGTGATTTTAGCGTCATTCATCGCGATATCAAGAGTTCAAAGATTTTACTAGATGACAACTTGGAAGCAAAATTATCTGGTTTTGAACTTTCCATGAATCGGGCAGCAGCTGAAAGGAACTGTCCTTGCCAGCTATCTGGATATTGTGGCACACGGGGACACATGGACCCAACATATTTCAAGACTGGAAGTGTGTCCCACAAGTCCGATATGTTTTCCTTTGGCGTGGTATTAATTGAAATACTTTGTGGCAAGGAAACAGAAATGGTAAACGAGGGTGAGAACTATCTATATGAATTGGCCAAATCACATATTGAAAATGGAAGAATATATGATATGGTGAATCCGGATCTATGGAAACAAATGGACCCACAATCATTCAAAATCTTTTCAGAAATAGCATATTGTTGCTTGAAGGCAGAACCATCAGAACGACCAAGTATAGATCAGATTCTCATACAACTTGAGAAAGCACTGGAATCTCAACAGGAACAAGAAAATCATGTAAGACCATCGATGATTCATCTGTTTCCAGTTTCTGTTCGTACCTCTGTCATTATAAACTCGTGTTTATTGGATATATATTTTTCATTGTAGCAGTTTATATCAAATGATTACTCTGGCTGTGGCTCCCTGTTTTGCAAGGATAGAGGGATATGCTAAGACATCAAAGTATGTTGCATACCCTCTCCTAAATCCTGGACTCGAACAATAAATCTCCAATATGGAGAGTGCCTTACCTGCTTAGACATCAACCGCTTACTCTATGATTTTTTTTTTTTTTTGGACAGCAAGAAAAGATTGAAGGCGCAACATCCAAGAGCTTGAAGGTAATCGATCTGTTTTGGGATGAGGCAATTGTGGTAGTATTATAACTTATAATTATGCACGTTAACCTTTATATATATATATTATATATATATATATATATATATATATATATATATATAGGGTGAGGTTCAATAGAGAACAATAATTAACAAGGAACCAATCGTGAGTGTCGGAAATCATAATGATCAACGGCCAAACAAATAGATGCACACTTGTACATTGGACACACACCAGATTATATAAAAAAATCAAACTCCTTACCAAAAAATCCACCTTTTTTTTTCGTTTAAAATTTTTTTAGGCCACATTTTTTATCAAAAAAAAACCGAATATACCGTTGTTCTCGATTTTTCATCCTCTTTCCATAGAGATCCATGATGATATATAAAAACAAACTTTTTTTTTTCAAAAAACACCCACTTCATTTTGTTTGTTTTTTTAATATTTAAGTTTATTTTTATAAAAAAATAACTAATTATACCAAAAAATATTAATTTTTTGTACTCTATTAATAAACATCAACACCGACTAAAAAACATCGATTAGTGTAGATTCATACTGTGAATCTAAACTGTAAATATTTCAATTTTTAATATTCACAATGTGAAAAAGCTCGATCAGTTTAGATTCACATTGTGAATCTGACTTGTTATTATGCACATTATGAATCTGAAAAGGTTCACAAAAAAAAAAAAAAACCTCGATCATTGTAGATTCACACTGTGAATCTAAACTGTAAATATTTCAATATTTAACATTCACAATGTGAAAAAGCTCGATTATTATGCACGCTATAAATCTGAGAAAGTTTACAATGTGAATCTGAACAGGTTCAGAATATGAATCTGAACAGGTTCACAATGTGAATCTGAACTGAAATATCGTTTTTATTTATTTATTTTTTTTAATTTTTTTTACACGAATATGAATCTATGTTTAAAAAGTACAAAAAAGCATGAATTTTGATATATTTATTAATTGTTTTTTCTATAAAAAAAATAAACCTTAATTTTCAACAAAGAAATTGAAGTGAGTTTTTTTCAAAAAAAGTTCGTTTTTTATATATCATCATTGATCTTTTTGGAAAGAGGACGAAAAATTATGAACAACGGTATACTCTGTTTTTTTTACGATAAAAAACATGAGCTAAAAAAAATTTTAAACGAAAAAAAAGAAGTGAGTTTTGTTATAATCCGGTGCATGTGCGTCCATTGTAAAAGTCTACAATCCTTCCTTTTGACGTTGATCGCTTTAAATTTCGACGCTTTGTCATTAAGGGTATGATTGTTTTTTTACGATATATATATATATATATATATATATATATATATATATATATATATATATATATATATATATATATATAGGTTCAACACATAACCAAATAACACCACATAACAACCATCTAAACCATTGGATTAGATTATGTCATTAAGGGTATGATTGTCTAATAATCTTTATGAACATAACTTTTTTAGATTCTCTAATCAATTTTTACATGTTCATAAATGAACATATGTTCATTCATAAATGAAAATATGTTCATAAATAAACATAATTTTTTCAGATTCTCTAATCAACTTTTACATGTTCATATGGTTAATTTTTAGCAATACATAACCAAAAAACATTCGCTAACCACTTGTATCACAATTAGATTAAATTAAGGATAAAAGTATATAAACATCCCTATTCTAATAAAAGAATAGTTTTATTCTTCTTTTGACATGTGTCATCATATTAGGCATCATAATTAATGCATATTTTATTCTCTTTTTGTCACGTGTCACAATATTATGTCTCCTAATTAATGCATGCCACTTGTCAACTCCATTTCAAAATTAAAATTTCAAAATTTCCACTTTAATTAAATTAAATTAATAACATTAGAATAAAAATTAAAATAAAATTAATACAAATTATAAAATGATATAATTTCACATATTTATTTAAATCAATGCTTAAAATTTATATAACTAAAAAATCTATTAATTAATAATTTATTTAAAATAATTAATTAATAATTTTGAGTTTTTATCATAAAAATTTAATTAATTTTGTAACCGTGGTTCTCACGGGTTATAAACTAGTATGTTCATAAATGAACATATGCTAATAAATGTTTGAACACTAACATAGATAAGATAGGAATTGAATTGGGTAACTTATAATACAGAACAAAAATCAGGGGAAAACATATAGAAGACATAGGAATGAAACTTGAGTAGGTTTGGATTAATATGAACATCTGTTCATACATCTGTTCATATATGAACATATGTTTATATATGAACATATGTGCAAATCTTTCATATAGGAGTTTCAGTCCATCTCTGTTATCAAGTCAACAAAATGAACATTTATAATAACGGTCTCTATACATGCCTCGAGTGCAATGAACTCAATCAAATTGAAAGAGCTTTAGTCCATCTCTGCCATCAAGTCAACATAATGTATTTTGTCGGCTAACAAGATCATATCCTACAGACTTCTTCACTCTCTATCAACAATTTGCCTTCCCTGTTACAATACACCATTTTACACCAAATTATTAGGATTCATTTATTGCTACTTTCTAATTCTATTTATTTCTTCTGCTTGATAACCAACTGTATAGTTTTACAATCACAATAAAAGGTAGCTTCTTCTAACCGCATAAGTGTAAAAAAATTAATAAATATCAATCCTAGAAAACACCAATTCATGATATTTTCTTGTTAAAACCCCATTTTCCCCAATCTTCAAGCTTTGTTTTGCTTTAATTTGAAGGTTTATATTTGGTAAAAGAAAGGTCCCACATAATCATTGAGGTTGAGACAATCTTAAAGCCACATAACATCATATGAAACCTAAAAGTATAAAATCAAAAATGCAAATGAATAGACAGTAAATGGATCTCAGTTGAATTGACCCGATGAACTGTAGATTACCCACATGAATTACACATTCAGTAAGCAAATAAATAAGAAATCAGTAGTACACACAACCACAAGCCTGTAAAGTTGTTACTTAAAAGATAAAACATCTATCGAAAAACGATTTTAAATATATCAAAATTTATAATTTTTTATTTTTTCTATAAATAGACATTCACATTGATATAGTTTTAAGATAAAATAAATTTTTTTATAGTTTCAACCCTTGTTATTAATAAGTGAATAAAAGTACATCAGATTTTTATTACAATACATTCGTTATTTATTTATGAATAAAAAATATGTTTAAATGTTTTTACTAATGTTTGTGGCATTTCATAATTCATAATAACAAATGAAAAGAAGAACGGGCTTGTTTTGTCCAAGGCGGGCCAGACTAAACCAATGGACTTTTCTGGTCCAAAGTTTCATGCTTAAAGAGGGGACTAGGCCTTTTTAGTCCATGGTGACCGGGTACAACTCTAGGTGTGGGTGTGGCCATGGTTAAATTTGAAGAGCTAAAAAATCAAAGAACAAAAAATTTATTTGAACCAAAATCCAAAAAAAAATATTATAACAACAGATTGAATGTGATTTATTCCAAGATTAAACTACTAAATATCAAATATCAAATCTAATAGTAAAATATAATATACACAAAGGATAATACTTTAAATTGTAATTAACTAAAGTAGAACTTGTGAATATATAATTTTCTTAAGCGGAAGGCAACTCTCACCATATCAAACATTGATCACTTGCAAAAAGTACACGCATACACAATATTACCAAACATTGGGCTTTGTTTGGCACAATACAACTAGTTTATTTTTTAAGCTTTTATATATAAGTTGTAATGTTTGGCAACAAAAAAGTAATTTATAAGTTAGCTTTTGAAAAAAGCTACTCACCGTTATTAATTAAAATAAACTCGATTTTCTAGATACCCTTTTTTGTCTTTTATATATTTAAAGTAGTTTATTAGCTAGCTTTACCAAACGTCTTTGTTTTTATCGGTTAGCTTATCGGCCAACAAATAGATTTTCATCTATCTGCTAGCTTTTCACCTGACAGCTTGAGTATAAGCTAGTCTGCCAAACATATAGTCTAAATTGTAAATTGTGTTCTAAGTGCGACACTATTAGAACTAGAAAACAAAAAAGGAAAGTAGAGATGGGAGTTGGCTGTCTATATATACACACGCATCACTATTGTATATTACCATTACCTGCTTCTTCATTTGTCTTTGTTTTCTTACAAACAGTTGGCTCACTTACAAATCCCACTTGAAGAGATAGTATCAGCCACCAACAACTTTTCTGATGCAAACCTTATCGGACGTGATGGGGTTTGGAAAGGAGTACAAAGGACAAGTCTTGCGGTCACATCAATCAGTCAATATTGTTGCACGGAGGTTTTTAGATGATAACTCATGGAGAGAAAGCAAAGGGTTTTTTATGGAGGTTTCGATGCTTTCTAAACTTAAGCATAAAAATCTTGTCTCTATCATTGGGTTTTGTGATGAGAACGGTGAGAAGATCGTCATAAACAAACATGAGATCCATGGAAGTTTGTACGACTATCTACGAGACCCGACCCTGACATGGATGCGAAGATTGCAGATATGTGTTGGTGCCGCGCACGCTTTGAGTTACATTTATTATGATAAGCGACGTGATTTCAGCATCATACACCGTGATATCAAGAGCTCCAAGATTTTACTGGATGAGCAGTGGGAAGCAAAATTATCTGGTTTTGAACTTTCCATCACTCAGACAGCAAGTCGAAGGGACCGTCTTTGCATTCCTGCGGATGTTTGTGGTACGATAGGGTACCGTGACCCAACATATGTTCAGAGTGGAATCGTGACCCACAAGTCGGATATTTATTCATTTGGCATTGTATTATTTGAAGTCCTGTGCGGAAAGCATTGTGATGATGATAAGTTGTTAGCTCCATCGGCCAGATCATACTATGAAGAGGGAAGACTTGAAGATATGATAGATCCGGTTCTAAGGAAACAAATGGACCCAAAATCATTCAAAATCTTTTCGGAAACAGCATACTACTGCGTGAAGGAACAACGACAACAACGTCCAAATATACATCAGATTGTCATACAACTTGAGAAAGCCTTGGAATTTCAATGGAAACATCAAAACCCTGCTGTAAGACGTATACCCTTCATTTATTTTAGCTTTCGTTTTGCGTGTTGGCACTTGGCATAATCACTCATATATATGCTCATTAATTTATTTCCCATTGTTATAGTTCATATCAAAGGCTCACTCTATGGTTAAGGGCATGACTTCCAAGAGCTTGAAGGTAAGTGATCTAAATAATTTGGTTTTGGTCTAAAAGTGATATTTCTCTTTTCATTTTTGCTCTTCATCTTGATGTTTAATTTCTTCTGCTATTGCAACACCCCGTTTTTAATTTGAGTAAAGTGTTGCAGGGGAAAGACTTGAAACACTTAGAGATCCCACTCATTGATATACAATTGGCCACCGAGAATTTTGGTAAAACATACCTCATTGGGTCAGGCGGATATGGTGAGGTGTACAAAGCAGAACTTGACCATTTTGATAGCAAAAACTCGTTGCCATTAGAAGAGAAGAAGACAAGGGAGCATGCCAAGAAGCGCTCCACTGTAGCTATAAAACGCATATTGAATAGAGAAGACAAACAAGGAATAGAAGGGTTCCTAGCAGAAATTGAAATGCTTACAAATTGTAAGCATCCCAACATAATCTCTCTTCTTGGCTTTTGCAAGGAAGGTGATCATATGATACTTGTCTACGAGCATGCTTCTAAAGGAAGCCTTAGTGATTATTTGGGAAGCACCGGTGGTAAGTTGACTAATCTTACTTGGGTGCAACGTATAAAGATATGTATTGATATTGCATGTGGATTGAATTACCTTCACACCAAGATAGAGGACGATCGAAGGATAATACACCGTGATATAAAAAGCGATAACATTTTGTTAAGTGAGAATTGGCAAGCCAAGATTGCTGATTTTGGGCTCTCCAGATTACGCAGTGTGAAAAAAAGTCAACAAGTGAACAAGACTCTCAATACAGAAACTCTTGCAGGCACAGATTTTTATTGGGACCCAGAATATTTTAAAACGGGTCGGTTGAAAAATGAATCAGACATTTACTCTTTTGGAGTCGTTTTATTTGAGATCCTGTCAGGGAAGCTTGCCAATGATGCAATTTACACCAAAGAAAATATCAACGGGATTGCACCTGTCGCAAGACGTCGCTTCAATGAGGGAACAATTAGGGAAATGGTAGATCCTAAGTTGATGGAAGAAACTCATGACAACATTTTCACTTCAAGTAGAGGACCCGACCAAGATTCATTGGATACATTTACAAAAATTGCATATCAATGTGTGGCTGAATCTCAAACTGACCGTCCAACAGCAGAAGTCATAATTAAGGAACTTGAGGAAGCGTTATCTTTACAAGTAAGTCATTATTTAAAGCACTAACATTTGCTAATTAGGAGCTCCGTCGATATCATTTTAAAAGAAATGTCGGATTTATGATGCTAGTTTAAAATGCACTAACATTTCCAACTTTTCAAGTTTTCTGTTGAACACACTCATCCCACATCGACACTGTAATGAAAAAGAACAAAGAGGGCCTGCAAAATTTTAAGGGTAGTTTCCACAGTAGGGGTAAAAATTGATTTAATGGCTTTTTCCAAGGTTATTACGAAGGACTAATTTAGATCATAAAAAAATACTAGTCCAAAAAAGCAACTGTTTTGGCATGGTTTTGTTTGAAAAAAACTGTTTTGGACCTCCCGCCCTGAGAAAACATGACCTGCCCAAAGCCTGTTAGTATTGATTAGTTTGATCACTTCAGAAACATTAATTTGTATAATACTATGTTCCAATTTTGGCCTAAAGAGAATTTAGAAGTTTAGGAGTAGTTAGATGATCATATATTAAGTTGCACTGTTGCATATGATAACTAGTGTCTAGTGTATTTCTGAAAATAAAAAAAATTAATACAATGTTAGATAGCGAACACGTCCAAGTTAATCAATTATCCATTAAAAATGGAAAGATTTTGTAAAATATAATAATCTTATACTATCGATAAAAAATATAATATATAACTGATTTTTAATAAGAGGTTCAACTTATTTTTGAATTATTAAGTTCATCTGGTGTTTAATGATTCACAGGAAAACATCAAGGACCACCTCAAATTCTCACTTGATGACATTAAAACTGCCACACAAGACTTCAGTCATAACAACTTGATTGGTCATGGAGGATTTGGGGATGTATATAAAGGAGAAGTTACACATGCTAAGGGACGTTCTACTATTGCTGCAAAGCGGTTGCATGCCAGATATGGTCAGGGAGAACACCAATTTTTGATGGAGCTTCAAATTCTCTTGGAGTATAAACATGAAAATTGTATTGGTCTTTTAGGCTATTGCAACGAAATGGGTGAAAAAATCATTGTTTATGAGTATGCTTCTAGAGGAAGTCTGGATAGGTACTTGGAGGACAAAGGTCTTATGTGGATGAAACGGCTTGAGATATGCATCGATATTGCAAGCGGGTTGGATTTCCTTCATGGAGGTGGAGCGGCACAAGAGCCGGTGATGCATAGAGACATTAAAAGCTCAAACGTTCTATTAACCAATGATTGGAAAGGAAAAATTTCTGATTTTGGGATTTCGTTAATAAGTCCATTAAATAAGGATATTGACTTTGTCATTGATGATGCTTGTGGCACAAGAGGCTATATTGACCCACTATACATGAAATTGGGTTTCTTAACCAAAGAATCTGATATATATTCACTCGGCGTTGTTTTATTTGAGATATTGTTTGGCAGAGATGCATATGTTGATTACAATACGCATGGGCATCTATCTGTATTGGTTAAAAACAACTTCAATGAAGGAAAACTTGATGAGATGGTATTCGAAGGTATAAAAGAACAAATTGCCCCAAAATCGTTGGCTACATTTCAAATGATTGCCTACCAATGCTTACATGATGATAATAAAAAACGACCAACATCACGCGATGTGCTACTACAACTCAAGAAATCGTTGGAATTCCAAGTAAGTTTCATACACAAGTAAGCATGTATCAAGACATAACTAAACAAAAAAAATGTACCGTCTTTAATAAGTATTAACAATAGTTCTTTTTGGATAGTAACAAATGAAAATTCATTTTTAACGAATAAGGACTAAAATAATTTAAGAACCATTTTTGGTTGGATATTTTTATGTATTATTGGAAGTACAAAACAAATAGATATCTAAATGATAAATGATTTCACATATTTCAATATATTTCATTTGTGTAGTGTCTTTAATGTTTAGAATTTTAAGAGAATGGTATAAACCGTTTAGCTTCATTAGTCAATAGTTATTGTCATGCTAAATTAAAACATTACTTCAACAAAATTCTTTAGTAAATATAAAGAATTACTTAACTAATTTCTTTACTAAACGAAAAAGTTATCTTATTCCCTTGTTCGTCTTTAACTTCTACAATAGAAAAATATAAAGAAGTTGGTATATACCATTACCAATTTTACGAACCAAACTTTAGCCAAACAAGTTGGTATCAAGTATACTTGGTATAATACGGTTGTACCGTTAACAAAGTTTTCGTACCAAATACAACCGGTACGGTGTACAGTTTGGGGAAAAAGGATTGTTGTCGTACCATGTTCACCCAGATAAATGGTGAGTGAATTGATATATAAATTTCTGATTTGTTTAACTAATATACAGGAGGACTATGAAATATGGGAGCGCAAATTGCCCGATGATTATGAACAAATATTTAAAATATCCAATTTTTTGGAGATCTACTCCACTAAAAGGAAAAAGGACCTCCACAACTTGCTCTCCACAGGAATCATCCTTCAAAAAGGCACAATGGTATAACTCGTTCGCTTATGCAAGTCATTTTGTGTTTTTTGTATTCCTTGCATCCTTTCTTGTAAAATGTTTATGAAAACCAATTGACTTCTTTAATTTGTTAACTTTCATACTCCCCCTTGATATTTTTTAACATATTAAACATATATCTTGAATTGCCCCTTCGACTTCAGAACTTAAATACCTTGCACATGATCGATCACAATTTGCCATGACTAGCTAGAATTTTTGCTCTACAAAATTTAGTATTCATTGATTCATGTTATTTGTTGATTCTTTTAGTGTAAATGAATATTTTTCTTACAAAGTACCTTGGTTTACGTACACACACATACACACACACACACATATATATATATATATATATATATATATATATATATATATATATACACACACACACACATATATATATATATATATATATATATATATATATATATATATATATATATATGTGTGTATGTGTGTGTGTGTATGTATATATATATATATATATATATATATATATATACAAACACACACAAACAAACAAACACACACACATACATATATAAATGAATCTTTCTCTTACGTACGTATGCACTCGCACACACAAAATTATACATGTGTGGCCGTGTGGGAAAATAATAGAAATCGGGCTTGATCTGTGTTTATTATTATTACAGTGGTTTTCAGTAGGTGCTAATGGAGAAAGAAATGAAATGATATCAGCATGGAAGTTTTTATACAAACAACGCCAGTCACATAAATGGAAATATGTTCCACACTCAAGGTCTACTCTCTTTCTTTGTTCCACTCTATTCCTTTCCTCGCGTCTTTGTGTGTATGAACTATGGCCATCAATATATATATATATATATATATATATATATATATATATATATATATATGAATCTTAAATGAACCACTAATGATGTGACATATGTATATGTGGGGTCCATACATCCACCAAGACGGCCACACACATATGTCCAATCACAGGTTTTTTTAGAAACACCCAAATGGCTCTCTTTTTGATTGTTTAGTTTCTTTTCTATTTCAATTACGATGAGTGTCTATTAAATTAAAAGTATTATCTATTTTTTTTTTTGAAATGTCAAAGATAATTAATATCTATTTTGAACTAACATCATGTATGTGATACTTACTTGATTAAAGTGAAGAATATGCCATATAATGGCTTACACAAATAGTCAAACACATTTAAAGGAGAATAGTTACCCACTAATTCCCACTAACGTTTGACTAAGTCTAGAAAGGAAATCGGAGAGACACATAAAATAACTAACATAAAATAATCAAACTAGCATGCATGCGACACACATGCATGGTTCTTAAAATATTAAAGGTGATAAAAACTAATTTATAAAAAAAAAAGTAAAATAACAAAATATAAAATCTATAAAACAAAATGTTCCAAAGTCAGGATAAATCGCAAGTTCAACCAGTTGCCTAATCATCATAATTTTGTGGTGCAATAGGTTTGATGGATCCTACTTTGGCTATAGCAATCTAAGAAGCTTAGGATTACCTTGATTTTTCTTAGTTAATACAATGGTTAGAGAAGCTCATAACATAGTTTCTTAGTTGAAGTCACAATTTTCATGAAGCACGTAATTAATGGGAATTAACTAGCATTAAGATTTAAAAGTCATCAAATCCAAGAGAAGTCAAAAAGTTTTCACTACCATGTTGGAAAAAAATATTTCATGATTGTATGAAGTGAAAACAAACACAAGAACCATTTGTTGCTTGTTAATTTGAAGATCTATTACGTAATCAAGAAATTTACCAACTAATTAAACATTCACATATCTAAACTCATGATTAAAGACATATGAACATAAACATAAGTTTTACTAGAAAATATTTCCACAGAATATCATCAAAACCCACACAAAATTATTCCTATTCATTTAGATGTTCTATAGATTCACCCAACATTGGAATTAAAAACTAACTACTCATAATAATAATAATAACAATAGCCAATGTGGGACTAGCCCACTTGGTAGAGGCTTTGCCTCTTAGATTGGAGGTCTCGAGTTCTAGCCCCGACATGAACAATTTCCTGATAGTAACTTCTAACCACTAAGCCCAGCGTTCAAAAAAAATAATAATAATAATAAAAAAGGATAGAAAATTATACTAATACCCAATACGAAACGAAGAAGAAAAAAGCTCCTTGAAATCGTCACTTCTTGTTGCTCCAAAAACTACATCCACAATCAAAATATTAATACAAAATTAACCTAAGTTAATCTAAAGAAAATGACTAAGAGATAACAATATCATATCCATAATTAGTATTGCATAGATTAGTACTTTTTATGCAATCAATCATTAGATTTGGTTTTTGATTTGTGATTCTATCTAGATTTTTCAGTTTTGCATTTAATGAATGTTTGATTTTGATTCTTTTTAGCTTGATCACCTAATTTAGGATTAAATCAATCTAGTTAATCAGTTGTTGAAATCCGTAATTGTTATAATCAACTGTTAATAAGCAACAAGTATAATATTGGTTCCATGTTGGGATTTAATTATGATATAAACTGAAATTTCATATTTTACGCTTCCGAGCTTGTGAGAAGTATTGAATATTGCTGGGAATTTACACAAATCATAATGTTGCTTTCTGATTTGATTAAAAGCTCGTTTAAATAAGTTAGTAAAAAGTTAGGATTAACTGAAGAGCTTGTTTTGGTTAATTAATTAGGTAAAAGAGAATATACTAGAGCTTGTTAGTTGTTCTCAATACCAGCTTAGATAGAACACATTTTAAATAACTAGGTCAATGTTGATTACATGATTAGGAAAGTCGTAGCATAGTTGAGTTTGTTTTTTTATTACTGAATTTTATTTAGTTTATTTCACTACTATTTTAGTTTTTAAATAATAATAAAAAATCCTCCTGTTTAGAACTTGTTGTCTCCTATTAGATGTTCTCCTATTAGATGACTTCTATTAGTTGTCTCATATTAGTTATCTCCTATTTTATTTACAACTCTTTCACATATTGTATATATAGCTCCTTTGGGTTAATTGTTGAATAATAAGAAAGAATACGTTAACCTTATATTCGATTCCTATAATTAATGTCACTAAAAACTATTGTCATTCTAGTATGGCGTGTCTCTCAATTTCTATGTAGTATGTATGTATTTATTGTTCATTAATTGATTAAGTCATTGACTCATTGTTAATCAGTTATAAGTTATACCATTCAATTGTTATTATATTATCTACACTAGGTGTAAATCCCGTATATTACACGAGTTGTTTAAAAAAAATTATATATGAAGATATAAATTTAAATTTTTTTTAAAGAAAACATTAAATATCAATAAAAAACAACAAAGTATGATTATTTTTTTATTTAGACCATTTTGCCTAAAATTACAATGAACTTAAAAAAACATGTCAATTTTGAATTATATATTGAAGGAAACATATTAAAATTTGAAAATTAGATAGTTAATTAAGAAAATCAAAAATTACCACAAAATGACAAGTGGAAATTAATTTCTAAGAATTAACCACAAAATTACATGTGTCCAAATGCATAAGAAATTGACAAGTGGCAAAAAGTTCTTTATTTATTAGGGAGGATGTAGCTTATATATTAGTTATAATTGCTAATTAGACGAATATAAAAGTAGTATTAAATTTTTAATAGGCATTCGCTAAAAATGAAATAGTCCTCGCTATTTCATCGCTATCCCTACATAGCATAGCATATAGGTAGGTTGTGGCTATTACCTCGCTATCGCTATGGATAACACTAATTTGAGCTTTGTTCCAAAGAAATTTGTTGATGAAAAAATTGCTTGTATTCCATGTCATCTTGCAAATCAGCAAAGATTACCTTTTCCAGGTAGTGATTCTTGTGTTGATTCAATTTTCAAACTCATATATGTGGATCTTTGGGGACCATATAGATCAAAAACCATTACAAGAGCTTCATATCTTTTGACCATTGTTGAGGATTTATCAAGGTCAAAATGGACATTTCTCTTGAATGATAAAACCCAATTAAGTCTTTATAACTTTATCTAACTTTTTCATTCATGTGGCTAATCAGTTCCAAAACTTCTGTCAAAATCATAAGAACTGACAATGGAAGTGAATTTACAAATCACAATTGTCATAAACTTTTTTCCTTTTTATGAATAGTTCATCAAAGAACTGTTTCCTATCCACCTCAGCAAAATGGAAGAGTAAACATCAACATCTTTTACAACTTGCTAGATCTTTGTTATTCCACTCAAAGTTACATGTTTTATTCATTCATTTATGGGGACACGCCATTTTAATGGCTACCTATATCATCAACATACTCCCTATATCTATTCTAAATTGGGAAACACCATTCCAAAAGTTACATGGAAAAATTCCTTCCTATGATAATCTCAAGGTATTTGGTTGTCTATGTTTTGCAACCAATACAATTCCTCATAAACCAAAGTTTGAACCAAGAGCTACCATGTGTTGTTGCATTGGATATCAGAGTGGTCAGAAAGCTTCCAAGTTGTATGATTTGCAAGAAAAGAAAATAATCATGTCTATGGATGTTATCTTTTATGAATCATTATTTCCATTCAAAGGGAATCAAGAAAGTTGAGAAGAGAAAACAAATGTTATTCCACATGCAATTAATGATGAAACTCAAAGCTTTGAAGTGAATACTCAAGATTTCATTCCTTTTGAGGATTACAACTTTGATAATATTTATTTTATCAATGAGGATGAGAATTTCAATATTCCTCAACAACCAGAAGTCCTTGAAAGTGATACTGATTCTTCAGTTGCAGAAAATGACCAAAATGCCCGTCATGGTCAAAAAATCTCAGAAGTAGTGGAAGAACACGAAAAACTCCATCTTGGCATAATGACTATGTCATGAATTGTAATACTTCAAAAACAGATTCAAGTTCTGAGATTAATTCAAAGAAATTTACTTCTTCTCGTTATCCTCCAACTTATCCGTATTTTCATTTTGCCCTTTTAACCCAGACACATAAAAGCTTCTTAATTACCATTTCACAAATCAAAGAACCTTCAAGTTATAATAAAGCATGTGAAGATTGAACTTCAATGTGTTTGGTTCGAACATGGAAGGTAGGTTCTCAACAAGTTTGATAGAAGATAGATTATCACAAAAGAGAGGGATGACATACTCCGAATCTTGGTTTAAATCTTTTATAAGTTGTCTTAGCCATACACTTCTTTGAGCAGTCATGAACTTCAACTATGTCATTAATCACAAGATAACAATACATTAGTTTTTTAATTTCTTGAACTTATCAACTAGAAGTTCAAGTTTTAATCTAATCATTTATTTTCTTCTTACAAAGAACTGGTATATGTGCTCACTAAACATATAATTTACTGTGGGTTTAACAAGTTAAATATGATTAATACTCACTCATCTATGATATATAGAAATTTTATGGAAAAAAAAGAATCATAATTAAAGGTTAATGTTTCTTGATATATACAATAAAAGTAAATGTGAATTTGAACTCTTGTTGGATAATTTACTTTGGGTGAAAAGTAAACTGAAAAGAAACATAAAATCCAAAAGTAGAAGCGTGTATTCGCGGCATAGAGGCTATTACTAATTTAGACTTTGACATTTTTAATAAGCACAGATTTCAAAAGGTAGCAGAGATGCTAGATTTTTCGAATCTAAAGATCAAAATGAAGATACAAACTCAATTATTATCTCCGGGCGTCAATTATGGGATTCATCTCATCTTTAGAATTTGTGGTCCAAGAAAATCTCTAGCTAAGCAGATGTACGTAAACCTTAAGTACAAAAAGGGGAGAGGGAGCGAAACCTTACATGCATATTTCGCAACATGGAGAGAAGATGATTGGATGATGATTGAACTGTGTCGATTCTCAAATGACAAGGAAAATATTGACTTGGAGTTTCTGCTAGAAAGCCTTTCACGATACTATTGTGGAAGCCATGGCATATATGTTGAAGGCATTGAGTTTCGAGCCATTGATAATGCAAGTTTGAAAATACTCTTTAATTCCCTTTGTTGATTAATTCTTTCTGTTTATATAGGTTACACGTACGTTTATAACAGTGTCTTACAAATTCTTGTACAGGTGAAACATGAAGAAACGGATGAAATACAAGAAGTGCAACAAGTCCTGAAATCAGACTCAAACGTGAATCTCATGCAACAATTGCCAACTAACCTTGAAGAAATATTTAAGAGATCTGAAAATGAGGATGGAGATGAAAAGGTTATTCTTTAATTATTAACTAATTTTAATTATCCATAGGACGAATAATTTCCTTTGTGGGGTTTTGATAAATTCTCTCTGAACGTATGATGAATAGCTGTTTTTGCTCAACGAAGTGAACGGAAAGAAATATCTTATGCTTTCAGCAAAGGCGGCTCTTTACAACTATTCTGATGTGAAGCTTTTCAAAACAAAACCATCAATTCAATCCAGGTTTGCTTTTTGAACTAAATCCTAACCATGAATCCACGATTACAATGTGTTTAATTAGCTATGCTTACCATATATTTGAAAATTTCTTATAATAAACCAGATTTCATAACTGGAAATCCTATTCATGTGTATTGAATTTTACAATACCACAACAAAAGCTTCATCTGATAAGTACACAACCATATTATATATGCAGATTTCTAGAGGTGATTGAGCTTCTACCACAACAAGTACTTCGTATCAATTGCAAGATGAAAAGTCAAATGTTATCACGAGATACAGACTACACGTGTTATCTTGTGTTCAAGCTGTCAGAAAAGTGTCGTGGGCTGCATTGTCCTGTGAAAGTACGAAATCTACTTCACCGGAACAAGAAAGAGGTTGAAATTATTTATTTTAGATCCCCAAAACCATGGAATTTACATGATACTAATCAAGCTCCACAACAAAGGCCAGATGGATGGATGGAAGTTAAGGTCTGGAAATTCAACCTAAATCATGAACTCATAAAAAATGATAGTTTTCGTGTGAATTTGAAGTTAATTAGTTATGAAGGAACTCTATCCGGCCTTATTTTATGTGGCGTTGAATTTCGGCCACTGTAAGAGCGTATATGTATCAAGTTGTTTGTTAAATCAATTGTATATAAATTTTTTATTAAATTGAATTAGCTATTGTTAATTCAGTCAACGAAGTAAGTATTGAATTGTTAATCATTGCTCTTTTATACAAGCTGTTGATTGTTATTGCAGTTAGAATTTGTGAAGCAGGTATATAGAGGATTTGTATTAATGTAATTGTTAAAATTAAGCAATGATTCCTTCACTCTCATGCAATTAACCCACTTGTTATAAATATGATAATATAAGAGTCGCTAAAGCACAAACTAGAACACAGGTATATGGGTGAAAACCAGGGAAAACCACGAGGCACTATACTATTGTCTTGATAAAACTGACTGTGAAAAGGTATTATAAGGTAGGGAAATTTCGATGGTGATGAGAGAGAGAGCCTTGTAGAAAAATCTTGAAAGTGATACAACTCGACGATTAGGTCAACATTATCGACTAATTAGTAATTATTTAATTATTTACTCAAATTAGGTAGTCGCTATCTTTATTTAAAATTAGGATATCTAGAAGTAACTTCCAACAGGCTGACTTTCAGAAGATCGAGATGCCCATATTCGATGGGGAAGACTCCCATGGTTGGATCGACCGGGTGGAACGCTACTATGAGATCCAAGGTATTAAAGACACGGAACGACTCAAGACAACCTCCTTATGCATGGAGGGATTAACACTAGCTTGGTATAGATGGGCTGAAAACCAAACACCTTTCCGGACTTGGGCGACTTTTAAACAAAGACTTTTAGCAAGATTTCAACTCTCGTATGAGGGGACCTTCGAGAAGATGACGGGGCATTTGGGCGAATTTCCAGAACAGGTCTTGGAAGGAACTTTCATCAAAGGGCTAGAACTAGCACCCAAATCATCAATAAGGGTCATGCAACCCAAGGGTGTGACCCGCACAATGGTATTAGCGGTTATGATCAATGAAAATCGACCTGACGAGGATGTGACAGAAAATTGTGGGGAATTAGGAGACAATCCACAATTTCATCAATATTCAGTTGCAGAACTGAGATTCCACCTCGAGGACAAGGTGTTTGTTTGGAAGGGGAGTAATGATACGACTCAACGATTAGGTAATTATTTAATTATTTATTCAAATTAGGTAGTAGCTATCTTTATTTAAAATTAGGATATCTATTAGTATCTTCTAAATTAGGATAGTATTATCTAGTAACACTTATATATAGGGTTTCGATATGTCTTATTGATTATGGAATAAGAATTACTCTGTTTTAGGAGAATCCATGTGTCTCGAATAACAGGCAGAAAGAATCCAATAACTTCTAAATTTCATAAAGAAAATAAAAATATCATAATTCCTAGCTAACTTGGTAGCCAAGTGCCACACTTCCAATGGATGGGGAAATTGGCTCACACCATGCAACAAACTCCACTGTGAGATGAATTTCATATTTAACGTCTCAACGATAGTGTTGTGCAATAGCATAAGTAATAACAAATAATTAGGATGAAATGTAAGAAGAATCAACAAGAAAAAAACACAATAATCGAATCCTTATTACTACAAAATGCTACAGAGGCAAAAAAAAATGAACTACAATAAAAATCTTACATAGACCGAATATGACCAATTCTATAAATTTTTGCTTATTGGCACATTTTTGTGGACTTGAGTATTATTGTCACATTTTAACCTAAAATTTCCACCTTGACAAACATACTAAGTCAACTGTTGTTTTCGACGCAAAACGTGGCCATGAAAGTGTATGCCTCCTAACGGATCTTGCAACTAAAACTTTGGACAACCAACTCATATCCACTCAAACCTTTCAATTCGATTAAATCGCTCACACCAAACCAAACACCTAGAAGTTTACCAAACTTCAAATCTGTTGACAAAAAAGTGTACACGCAATTATACGAGGTCATACAAGTAATACATTCGTAAGACCATATATCGCAACATGGATTATCCTATCCTTAAGGCAGACGAACTAGTTAATTGTTTGCAAAAAGCCATTTAGAATTGACTAACCAAGGGAACTAATTTTAAAAGTAAAATAACGGCCGCTCAATACCCTAAGGTCCGGCGATGTAGGGACTCTTTTGTCGGCGTCTTCTTCATTCTCCGGCGGGATCAAACGCCGGAGTTTCTTCTTCTGTGATTTCTTTTGGCGAGACCGATGGTTGGGAATGGGCCTGCGAGTTGATCTCGGACTCAGGTCGGTAATCTGAAATTGATTGAAAAGGTTTCTTCCCCGTTTTATGTGACGAATTTCCCTGTTGATTTCGGAGTGAAGGAATTATGGGATGCATGTGCGAAGGTGGGGACTGTGGCTGATGTTTACATTGCTAAGAAGCTATCCAAATTGGGTAAACGCTTTGCCTTTGTTCGTTTTATTAAAGTGTCAGATGAGAAATTGTTGGAAAGAAAGATTAGAGAAATTTGGTTGGGTTCATACCACCTGTTTGCTTCAGTAGCTCGTTTTTAGCGAGAACCTGATCGTAAGAGGCAGTCTGATTCACATGTACATGGTGATCAGGTGGTGTCGAAACTTAATGGGCAGGGACTCGAATCCTATGCGATTGTGGTTAAGGGGGGCAAGGGCATGCATGGGCTGAAAGAGCCTAAATCTACTGTTTGTACTTTGTATGGGAAAGAAATATGCAATAATATGTCCTTAAAGGCTTCGGTGTTTGCAAAACTCAGGGATATTAGATTGATTCAAAATTTGTTTGTTTTATTGAAATAAGAAGGCTTTGATGATCTTCAAATCAAGTATGTTGCTAGTGATTGGGTATATTTGACATTTTTGTCCGAAGAAGTCTGCGCCAGGTTCAAGAAATGTAATGGTATTAAGGCCTATTTTTCTTTGTTTAGGCCTGTTGTAAATGGGTTTTTTGTTAAGGAAAGAGCTGTGTGGATTGAGATGATTGGGTTGCCTTGTTGTGCATGGAATGAAGATGTTGTTTCTAAGGTAACTAGCATGTGGGGTGATGTATGTTTTCTAGATGATGATGGGGATGCTCCATTGGCAATCATGAGGGCGTGTATTAAGACTTCTAAGCTGGCTTTGATTCATGAGACAGTTAAAGTGGTTGCCCAAGGTATTGAGTATGATGTGGCAGTTCGTGAAATTTCTAATTGGGAACCAGATATATTGGAAGAGGGGGAGGTGGGCTCGGATATTCCAGACTTGTCAGATGAAGAGGAACCCAAGGATTTTTTTGGTGAAGATACGTGTGATATACAAAAAGATTGTCAGGAGGGTAACGGTAATGAGGAGGTGGCAGATTCTCTCAATGTGGATAACACTCCAAATTTAGGTGATCGAGGAGCTGGTTTTGTAGATAGAAAATGTCATTTTTTTCAAACTAGTGGAAGGAAGAAGAAGGTGCATAGATGCTTTGAAGATGATGAGCGGGTCAAATCGATCCTGGTTGATGCATCGGTGAAGTCGCCGACTAGGCCCGAGAGGGATTCTTCGCCGGCTGATGAGGAAATCCGTCAGGGTGGAGTAGTGGGGGGTGGGACTTCGGAATCTTTATCTCAATCTCCAGGGTTCCAGCGTGAGAAGTTACACGGGAATTTTAATGTTAATGCCTCGGCGTCGAGATCCTCTGGTTCACATGGTTCTTCTAAGTTGTTAAAGAAAAAAGTTCTGGTGGGTGTAGAAGATATTGAGGATGTCTTGAAACAATATTTTGAAATGGGTGATCTTCTTGGGTATGATATGAAATCTCATAAGGATAAGGTTTCTAAAATCTTGTCTAGCATTGGTGTGGTACAAGTGGATAGATCAATTGTCTATCTTTGAATATTTTTGGTACTCTGTGACAACCCGAAACTTCTACCTTGTACCTTAGTCAAATTCTATCAATGTTAAACTCCTTTCAGCAATCTTTTAGCATTGTTTTGAGCCTGTTTGGATGATCTAAAGCCTTGTATAACCAAAGTTTGAATTAGGGATGGGTTGGCTTAAGATTTAGGGTTGCAAAAAGGCCAAACACTCCATCAAAAGGAGTGTGTGGCCACACACATGAGTGTGTGGCCGCACACCCAAGTGTATGGCCGCACACATGAGTGTGTGGCCGCACACCCGGGTGTATGGCGGCACACGTGAGTGTGTGGCCGCACACCCGAGTGTATAGCCGCACACATGAGTGTGTGGCCGCACACCCGAGTGTATGGCCGCACACTTGAGTGTGTGGCCGCACACCCGAGTGTATGGCCGCACATATGAGTGTGTGGCCGCACACCCGAGTGTATGGCCGCACACATGAGTGTGTGGCCGCACACCCGAGTGTGTGACCGCACACACGAGTGTGTGGCCGCACACCCATCCTCCAGCCGCACACTCATCCCTATTTATATAGGGTGACCCCTTTCACTCATTCCTTTCATTTGGCTGCACTCTACTTTCTCTCTCTACTTTCTCTCTCTAAAAACTTCATCCAAGAACGCTCTCAAGGCCTCAAAAACGTGAGTTTTCCATCACCTAGCTTATCATACATGAAGGACCCATTGATCTAAGCCCTTAACCATCAAAGTTCATCATGTTCTTCATCACATGAAGGTGTACGGACGCACACCTTCATAAGGTGGCCGTACACACCTTAAAGCTCTCCAAAGTGAAGAGTTTGGCCTTCATTCACTAGTAGGACTTGGTATTAGCACTAGAACATCTAAAAATCGACATTTCGGGCACAAATGAGGCGTGTACGGCCGCACACTTCTGTGTACGGCCGCACACACCCTCTGTACGACCGCACACTCCTGTGTGCAACCGCACACACAGCCTGGCCGCACACACCCTAATGACCATACACCTCTTTTGTTTGATCACATGAGGTCACGACAAGCATTTCCAAGTCTTTAGGGTGGTTTTCCGTCATGTAATACCTAAATCTAATACATATATGTGCTATTATATGTTACTAGGATCCACTTGAGTGCGAAACCCCAATTGACACTCAACACTCGTAACCGATCATCCGCTCGAATCATCCGTCAAACAGTGAGTTCATACCCCTACGCTTTTTCCGAGTTTTTCATGTTTTCAGGGGGGGAATACAAGCAAAAGTACAAGGAAACTTGTGCTCAAATATATTATTTTGTTTAAGATAATTATATTTTTAGTATGCTTTTAAACACGGAAAACGGTTTTACCAACCGATTAAGAAATCAACACGTAGAAACAGTTTTCAAAACTAGAACAATGAACTTGTGAATCATGTAGTAAAACGTATTATTTTATAAGGGATTCATGCAAATCATAAACAAGATTTTCAGTATTATTACTTGTAAATTTGTTAGGCTAAGTTTGAGGCACGTCCTTGGTAACACTCCCACAGAATCAAGAGTGTAGGACTAGCACTTGTGACCAGAGTCTCTTGTAGGGAAAGCGTGACGGTTATGTATAGATCTATACGGGACTGACAATCCCGCACGTCACTGCTAGCTACAGTCGGACCGGCAGGTCTGCGAGTGACAAAGTCATTAAGGATACAGGCAATTGCAGGCTATATCCAGTCAGTTATGGTTATGAAACTCAAAACCTAGGTAGCAGATATTTACTTTTGTAATAATGAATCAAATGAACTAACCTCAAAGTAATGACCAATGGATTACTGGAGGGTATTAATAATAATAATATCTTCAGGACTTAGTTCATCACGGTTTTCTTTTATTTAGTTTTTAAGACTAATATACCTTTCTGGGTGTAACCAGGGTTTTAAAAAGAAAACTGCTTTTATATACACGAGTATGGTAGATACTTGCAAACCTCAGTTTTAAAACGGATAAACAACCAACCACCCTTTTTGGGAAAATTTAGGATTTTCCCGGGATAAACCGGCCATTCAAAACGAATTGTTTTACAACCAACGGATATTCATATTCATTCCACGACTTATTGGATTGTACATATCATGTATGAACCTGGAAGTCATGGAAGGAATGAGTTTTCAAACATGCTTTTCATAAGAAAATATAGGATTTTCTTGAGGAACACTCTTCAAAAGGATTCAAAGAACTCTTTTCCATCAAAACTAAATGCTTATAAAGTCACCAGCTTTATGCTGATATTTTAAAACTGCTTGTATTCTCAGGAAATTAGTAGACAGGTACTCTCAGGAGTTTTGCAGAAGTCGGAGCGTTAGAGTCGCGTCTTTCTATTTTGCTTTTGATATGAACAAAACTATGTATGAAACAATGTAAACCTTTTTCATATATGTATTCGATGTCTGTTTGTGTTTACTACGCTTGCTATGATACAATTGTTATGATACTACGCATGACGTCACTCCGCCCCGGAACGTTTCCGCCATCGGTTTCGGGGTGTGACAGATTGGTATCAGAGCCCTTGTTTATAGCGAACTAAGTATACCGAACCTTACATGGTATACAACTATAAATATTAAGGGGCCTAAGCGCTCTAAACTAAAAGTATACTTTCAAAAATACAAGTATTTTTATAAAAGTATATAAGTATACCCAAGTATCAGAATCTGTGTCGTAAATAGAACAAGACAAAAGTATTTGGATGTTGGACACTGTGGTTAAACCTGGGCAGTTATGTAATCATGTCTAGGGTCAATATAGCCTGATCAACTATATTCATTCGAGACATGACCAACATGTGCTTGGGAGTGACTATGGTGTTGCAGCAAGCCTAAAAACTTACCAAAAACATCTCACATAAAATACTATAGGAGTATTTTAGCTAGAGCCAAACTCAGTATATAGAATCACTCCAAGTGTTGCTACCTCTTCTTTCCTAAGCGATAACTTACTTGCATTAGTAACCTTCCTGTGCTTATCGCTTGGTAGAACACTTTTATCATCAGGATGAAATATATCTCGTTTCATATATCTTGAGGACTTACCATCCTCTTCTTCCTGATTGTTTCTAGAAAAAGATGCCTCCTCGACCAAGACCCAACAGAAGGGACAACACTCCGCCACCACCACCACCTCCCCAGTTCGACCCCGTCATGTTCCAGGCAGCAGTTACCGCCGCTGTAACCGCAGCAATGGCACAAGTAAACTCTGGTGGGGCTGGAGGTGGAACCGATCCGCAAAGACAAGACAGAAGTCAGGGACATCAAAAGGAGTGTTCCTACAAGGACTTCATGACTGCAAAACCCAAGTCCTTCGATGGAAACGGAGGAGTCATCGCTCTGACTCGATGGTTCGAGAAGATCGAATCCATCTTCGAAATTTGTGCCTGTTCCGAAGCAAACAAGGTGAAGTTCGCTGCCTGCACCTTCACCGACAGAGCCTTGACCTAGTGGAATGGTCGAGTCAAAACCCTAACCCTACCGGTGGCTAATGTCATGGGTTGGGAAAGACTGAAGGAACTCATGCTTGCAGAATACTGCCCGAGGGGCGAAGTGCAAAAGTTGGAGCACGAACTTTGGAACTTGAAGATGAAGGGTTCTGACATCGCCGCCTACACTGCTAGGTTCTGTGACTTGGCACTCCTCTGTCCGGGAATGGTCACCCCGGAAAGCAAGAAAATCGAGAGGTACATCTGGGGGATGACGCAACCAACCAAAGGAAATGTCTTGGCTGCGAGGCCGACCACATTTGAGAGCGCCAAGGATCTGGCTCAGACTCTGATCGATCATGGAGTCGATATTGACGAGGTGACGGCTGCTCCTGCACCACAGAAGGAGAGTAGTGGGAAGAAGAGATTTCGAAACAAGCGCAAGGGCCAGTCCTCTCAGGAGCCCTCCAAGAAACAACAAATAGTGGCAGTCCACGCTGCTACTACTCCTGCTACTACTCCTGCTGCAGTCCCCGTTACTCCAACAAACCACAGTCGCTACGCTGGAAAACTACCTTTGTGCAACAAGTGTAACTACAATCATCAGGGACAGTGTCGGGAGATGTCGTGCACCAGCTGTGGAAAGAAGGGACACACAGCTCGATTTTGCAAAGGACCAGTCCAACCAACCAATCAGGCTCCTGGGGCGGGTGCTGGTCAAGCCTGTTATGGCTGTGGAGAAGTTGGGCACTTCAAGAGAGATTGTCCCAAGGCAACAACAGGTGGCAATGCAGGAAGGGTGCTGGCAATGGGCCATGAGGAAGCGGTTGCTGATCCTACCGTTGTTACGGGTATGTTCCTTCTTGACAACTCTCGTGCATGCATTCTTTTCGATTCTGGTGCGGAAAGGAGTTTTGTTAGTCATGCCTTCAAGCACCTAATCAAACGTAAATCCCAACCCTTAACCGAAACGTTCACCATCGAGATAGCTAACGGAGAGAAAGAAAGCGCGAACGACATATTCATAAGCTGTACCCTTACCTTAGGCAATCATTCCTTTCCTATCGATCTGATGCCTGTATCTATTAAGAGTTTCGATGTCATTATCGGTATGGATTGGTTGAGCCCCAGTCATGCTGATATCCTTTGTTTCAAAAAAGCTATTCGCCTCAACCTTCCCTCTGGCAAAGCCCTTATGATTTATGGTGATAAACTCAGTTCAAACCTTCGTATCATCTCGTGCGTCAAAGCTCAGAAGTACCTGCGGAAGGAATGTCATGCGTTTCTAGCTCATGTCGTTAATGAGACACAAGAGGGTAAAGATCTCGAGAGCATCCCCGAAGTCTGCAACTTTCCCGATGTTTTTCCCGAAGATCTCCCGGGAATCCCTCCTGAACGCCAAATCGAGTTTCGTATCGACTTAGTCCCCGGAGCTACCCCCGTAGCTAAATCCCCATACCGATTAGCGCCGGCAGATATGCAGGAGCTATCTAGTCAGCTCAATGAGCTGCTCAGCAAAGGATTCATCAGACCGAGTTCCTCACCCT